ATATAGTCTGAAAAGTGATAATAGCTTTTGTTCAGTCCTTAATTGGTCATAGCCCTCATTATACCAATCAGTACTTTGTTCATATGTTCTACAGTTACTGCTAAATGGATTTCTATTCTTTGAATCTTATCTCCTCATTCCCTATCCCACCTAGCACACACTCCTTTTCTCCTTTAAAAAAAATCCTTTGCCCAAAACTCAGTTTTCAAAAAAGATGAAAAAAGATATTTACTCATTTGGTACTGATTTTATTTTTATTCCATCTATTTTCATTTTTCTTAGAGATAATATCTTTCACATTTTTTGTGTACCCTATGACATTCAGCATGGTGCTTGATAATCCGGGCTTATTAAGAATGATTGACTTAGAACTGGCAGTAGTCTTATGCGTCATCTTCTCCAGCTCCTTCATTTTATAGATGAGGAAACTGAGACCCAGAGAGGAGATGTAATTTGCTCAAAGTCACATGGGTAGGCACATTGCAGAAAATCAGTGAATATTTGATGCTGACTTTGATGTTTTCATTTATCATGGTGGAAGGACTGTTGGATTTGGTGTGGCAGAGGATACCTGAGTTTGAATCATGTTTGTGGTGCTAGCTATTTGACCATGTACAAGTCACTCAAACCCAACTAAACCTCACTTTCCTTATTTGTAAAGTTCAAGGGGTGTAATAATATGTTATGGGTGTGAGGATCAAATGAGGCATGAAGTACTTTGTAAACTTTAAATTGTTACTTATGTAAATGTAAACTTTAGCTATTCTTATTGTTGAGAGTTAGCCTGATATGGCAAACAGAGGACTGGCCTTGGAATTGGGAGACCTTTGTTTACCTGTTTTATCTCTGACATATATTAGCCATGAGACCCACTACCTCTTTGTGTTTATTATAGGCAACTCTTTGAGAATCTATGGTTACAGACTGGTTTCAGAGCCCTATGGTAGAGGGAGTTTCCACACTAAGAATTCACTAAACAGATGAATTCACACACATGAACATAATTATTATTGTTCTCATTTCTGGCCAAAGCAACAACCGAAGCAGCATTTATTCTCACTGAGCTAACTGAGCAACCTTGAGAAAGTCACAACTTTGAAGGAGAAGGAGGAAGGCTGGAGTATCTCTCACATCCTTTCAGCTTAGAATCATATGATTCTTGCTCTTAGTCAACAGGTTTTCAATTTTAAAAGGACATGTGAAGAAAGACACTAACTACATTCAGAGAAAGAACCGATAAATAGAAGTATGCATGGGATAATTTTACATATATTTGTGTCTAATGGTAACCATCTCTAGGGTGGGGTGAGAAGGGAAGAAAAAAAGCAATTTACATGGTAATTTTATTATATATTTAAAAGGAATAGCAAGTCGTATATAATATATTTGCAGTTTCATGTGCAATCATCTATTTTATTATATTGTTATGGAAATGCTTGCTTTATTCCATAAATTAAAAATAAAATACATAAATTGTTTTTAAGAAGGTTATTTGGCACATAGTAGCCAGTAGTATAGTATCACTTCACCACAGGAGGGGAATTATGAGCCTTGTTAATTCATTTCGGCAAACATTTGCGAAATATCTACTATATAAAAAGTGCTTTAATAAGTGTTGGGATTTTGAAAATGAACAAATACACAATTCCTGCCCTCTAGGAGTCTGCCATCTGCTAAGAGGAATACAAAGCAAGCATGCTATTAAATAGATTAAAAGTGAGGGAAAATAGAGATTAAAAGAACTCTGGGAAAATTTGAGGGGATGCACTCCATTCAGCTGGAGGAATCAGGGAAGACTTCATGGAATAAGAGCCACTTATGACTAGCCTTGAAAGAAGAGGAGCTAAACTGGTGGTGGCAAAATCAAATAGAAATGGGGGCCACTAAACCATATGTGAGGATCCCTATGGGTCACATACTGACTTAGAAAACCGCATATTAACATTATCTGTGTCTTATTGTATGTTTAATTATTTTGCTCACTATTTACCAATTACAGTTTAATCAGGATCCTGTCATACTTGCAGGGTTGAAGGCTCTGCGTATTGCATTTGACACCTCTTTGTTAAACCATTGACAAGGAGGGGGTTGCAGGCAAAAGGCGGGGGTCAGCGGTGGGGAGAGATGGTGGTGTTGGTGGTGGTGGTGGTGGTGAGGTGGGAGTTCTGCAGAGTTGAGAGGGGGCAAGATTAAGTTTGGTAACAGCCAAGTGTCTAGTCTGGCTGAAACATAAAGCGAATGCAGAGGAATCACTTAAAATAAGTCTAGAAAAGTAGGCTACAATCAAATTGGCATTTACATAATAGCCTATTGGGGTTTGTGGTTTATCTTATAAGAAAACTCAAAACAATATTAAAGTAATAGTTTGTTCTACATTACCTAACTAAATAAAAGAAAATAAAAATTAACTTGACTCCAATTAAAAATAGAAGAGAAGAAGCATCCAACTTTTAACATATTAGTATCAAAAGACTTGAATCTAGAAGGTATTTTAGGAATCATCTAGTCCAGGAGTTCTTAATATTTTTGTGTGTGTCATAGAGTCCTTTGGGAGTCTGGTGAAACCTGTATACCCCTTTCGATGACCATTTTTTTAAATGCATAAAAACAAAATACATAGGATTGGAAAGCAAACTGATTATATTGCAATAGTTTATCTAGCTAGCTAGCTATCTGCCTATCTCTCTATCTATTATCTATCCATCTATCTATCTATCTATCTATCTATCTACCTATCTATTTGTCTGTCTGTCGGTCTGTCTGTCTATCTGCCTATCCATCTATCCATCTATCCATCTATCTATCTACCTAGGCAAATTCATGGACCTCTTTAAATCTATCCACAGAACTCTTTAGGGGAGTCATTGGATTCAGGATTAAGAACTCTTGATGAAGTCTTTTCCTCTCAACTCATAGATGGACAAGCTGAGGTCAGAGGAATTAATGTTCTAAATCAATACATAGGAGAAGTAGCATAACAAAGAGGCAAGAGTACTGGCCATTGGCAGGGAGAGGTAGTTCTGAGGCCCCTATGATTAAGCTCCCTGTGATAATATAGTGGGCTGTCAGCCTGTCTCTCTCCAGGCACAAGGTAGCAAGGGATCATAGGGAGGAGGAGGTAGTAATTATGTATATAATTGCTTTGATTCATCTTCATTCCCTGTGCATCACTTCATACAAGTTTTCCTGTATTTCTTTGTGTTTTTTTCATATTCTAACATATTCAAATACCATAATTTGCTTAACAGCTTGTTATCTATAGACACCTCATTTATAGGTGTACCATCGACATTTCCTGTGGGTACTGTGGATAGCACCACAATGAATATTTTCATACAGAAAATATGTTATGTTGTTGTCAATGACTGCCTTGGGGGCAGCTACCTGAGGGTGGGATCACTCTGTCAATATGAATGAAAATTTTATAATTTTTCTTTTCGTTGTTCCAAAATGTTCTCCAAACTTATTGAAGCTATTCAAAACTCAACAAGAAGCAAACTAGTAGGAACTGGCAGCATTTTGCTTAGTTTCTAAAATATGAGATGCCCTTCAAGTTAACTTGCTTGATAGCTAAGACCTTAATGTAAATGAATTTAACTTATTGAAGCTATTTAGGACTTTTCCAACCAACCTCTATCTGTATAAACTTTAATGTACATGTTGTGTGACTTCCCACCCCAAAGTTAAGCTAATAGATATGCCATGTGTTTGTGGTTTGTCTAACAACATAAGAGAGTAATTGTGAGGGGTAGTTCATTAAAAGACAGAATGTACCAATGTGCTTTTTAAGTTTGTATCTACATTGTGTAATGTGGAGTTCTATGACCATTTAAAATTGCCTTCATTTACATAATTGTAGTTATTGTGAATATTGCTATTTTGACTCTTCTTTATTCCCTCTGCTTTACTTCATACTTCTCCTAACATTTTTTATATTCCATAATATCTATATGCCATAATTTGTTCAACAGTTTGCAAGTTTTTAGATATACTGTTTCCATTCTTGGGGCTATTGCAAATAGTACCACTATGAATAGGGCAGCTGGATGATGCAGTGGGTAGATCACAGGGCTTGGAATCAGAAAGACTCATCTTTATGAGTTTAAATCTGGTCTCAGATACTTACTAGCTATGTGACTCTGGGCAAGTCACTTAACCCTGTTCGTCTCAGTTTCCTCATCTGTAAAATGAGCTGGAGAAGGAAATGACAAATCACTCTAGTATCTTTACCAAGAAACTCCCACATGGGGTCACAAAGAGTCGGACATGACTGAAACAACTGAATGACAAAACCCCTATGAATATTTTCATATAAAAATCTTTTGTTGTTGTCAATGACTTCCTTGGGGCATCAACCTAGCAATGGAATCACTGGGTCAAGATGTATGAATGGTTTTAAATTTTTTCTTTTCATATGTTCAAAATGTTTTACAAACTTGTTAAACTATTCATGGCTCTCTAAGCAACAAACTAATATTACCTGGCTGCATTTTGCTTAATTTCTGAAATACAAGCACCCTTGAAATAAACTTACTTAATAATTTACTTCTTAATGCATAAATGAATTTAACTTATCGAAACTCTTCAGGAATTCGGAATATGGTATTTAATATCCCTTCTGTTTTCCCGTTTTGACTGGCCTCAAATATCCGCTATCATTTGTTTTCAAAGACTTTATGTTATACTAGAGAAGTTTACCTCCTGCTGATCTGAAAGGATAAGGATATAAAGCTTGAGGAAGTATCACCACTTCTTGCTGCTATGATAATTCTTCTTGGCTCTGCACTTATACGGAGGAGGAGAGAGAGGGTATTAGTCCCCATCATTGGACCAATCTGTGAATTATTTGCTAATGGTTACCAACTTTTGGCAGATACTCAGAATAGATAACATTTCTGTATTTATGTCATTGGAAAGAGTCTTTCTCATTGCTAATCAACAAATTAATCTTGGTGTTTGTTTTTTTTTTTTTTTTTTTTTTGTGTGTGTGTGTCTTTTTTGTTTCTGGACACCCAATAATCAAGAAAGCCGACATTCGGGTCGTTGGAAAGTTAGTAGCCAGGTCCATGAGAGAGAGGAGAATGAAAATACGTTTCAGATCACCAGATTAATAATCAGGTGAACAAGTACCTTTTATCTTTGAGTAAACTTGATGACTAAAAATAGGAAAAGAAGAAGAATCTCCAAGCATAGAAAGATATGACAAGTTAGCAATCTAGTGACTTCCCATAAAATATATGTACCTGTTTTATCATAACAATAAAACTGAAGGCAAGTAACAATAAAAAAAAACAGAACACAAAAAGTTTCTTGTTGACAGTTGATTTTGCTTTGCTATATTACCAGAAAATCTCAGCATCATAAAATCTTTGAATTTAGAAAATATCTTGGAAGTCATTTTCAATTCTTACCTGAAGCATGAGCCTCCTCTAAAACCTTCAAATATACAAATTTGAAAGCATACAAAGTGAGGTAGGATGGATAATTAGATGAATAAGGAAATTCAGGTCCAACTATAATCCAATAGTCTCAAATAATGGGCTGATTTTAAAAGATTAATTCATAGAGATATGTGTAAAGGCCTAAACATAGCTTCTAATGCAGCTAGATGGTGCAGTAGTGTGCTGGGGCCAGTTTGGAAGACTTGAGTTCAAATATGATCTCAGACACTTATTAGATGTGGGACCCTGAATTACTTAACCTTTTTGTGCCTCCAGTAGAGAAGGAAATGGCAAACCACTCTAGTATCTTTGCCAAGAAATCTCCATGGACATTATGGTCCATGGGATTACAAAAGTCAGACACAACTGAACAAGTATAGCTTCAAAAAATCAGTAGCAAAAGTAGAGAATGATATAGATGTGGATAGACAGCAGCTCATCTAGAAAACGCTTGTGGGTTTTAAATGACTACAAGTTCAATATGAGTCAACAATGCTCTGTGACTGGCAAAAAAACCCAAAACAAAACAAAACAAAACAAACAAAACAAAACCACAACAAACCACTAGTGTAAATCTTAGAAGCAATGATTGTAATCATTCATTTTCCACATAAATACTTCTAGCGATCCGTTTTGGCTTTGCCATTTTTTAGCTATATAATATTGGATGAGTCACTTCAATTTTGAGATCCTCACTTTGCCCATCTGTCAAACGGGGATAGTAAAATTTGAACTACCAACTTTAAAATGGAAACTACTGACTTCATAGAGCCGTTGTGAAGATCAAATGAAGTAATTTTTCTAAAGTGATTTTTAAACTGTAAGACATTATGTAAATATAAGCAGTTATTACTGTCATTGCTTATGTGACAGCCTGCTCAATTTTTTCGTTAAAAATTTTTATATCTTTTGATTTAATGTTACCCTCATTTCCAAATATATACTTCAACCTCCCACTTCTCCCTAACATCCATGCTTTGTAACAAAGAATAAAAAGAGAAAATATGTAGTTCAGCATAATCAACCAATATATTACCTTACTCTGATAGTATATGAAATATTTGATACCCCATAATCCCCGACCTTTAAGAAGAGGAAAGAGAGGAGGGCACATTTTCTAAACTCTATAGTCAAATTTAATTATTATAATTACACAGTATTCACTGTTTTGTTCTTTTATATTATTCTATAAAATTGTTTATATTATAGAATATTTTATTATCCTTATATATTTGAATTGCTATAGTCATTCTGCATATATTGTTTTCTAGGTTCTGTTTCTTTTATTCTGCTATTGTTACATGACTAGCTCATTTCTTTTTAACAATCATACATATCCTCAATGATACCTTTAATGACCCTTTCCCCACACAGGTCACCTCTGATAATACAGTCTGCTTACACTTTTACATTATTCTTTGGGTCACTTATAATTTTCTTTAGCGGTTGTGGTATTCACATATATGCAGAAGAATATTGACCTTTAAAGATGGATCTTGGGTTTAGAGTAGCTTGGAATCGTTGAAAGAGATGCACAGTTCCCCAAATTGCAAGACAGAACTTCTCCTCCTCCTCCTTCTTCTCCTGCTCCTTCTTTTTCTCCTTCCTCCTCTTCCTTGCCTAGCTCATTTCCATTTGTTGCCGAAGTACAATATATATGCACTTGGACTAACTCAATAATTCCCCATCAATTTCATATTATAGCCTGGACAATAGATTCACTTGTCGTTTTCCCATGTGAATCATTAGCTTGCTCTATTTTGAGTGTTTTGGAGCTCACTGAGGAGGCCTTCTTGTGCTACTCTGGGCCTTGACGCAATATGGAATTAGTTTATGTAATATTGAATTGTATACTGAACACTGAGTTAGGATGCTGAACACTGTCAGGAAACTGAATACAGAGTCAGGGTACTGAATACTGAATTGGGGTATTGGATACTGAGTGTGGCTGTTGAATACTTGAATACTTATTGGATGATGTCTTTTGGTACTGAATTCAGACTAGGGTACAGAATATCGAATTTTAGTACAAAATTCTTAAACTGGTGCTAAATATTCATTTTTGGATAATGACTTCTGGGTTTAGATATGGAATATTGAGTTTGGATTTGAAATACTGAATGTGCATGTGGAATTCTGACTTTGGATATTGAATACTGAGTTTGATACTGAATACTGAGTTGGAATAGTGAATGCTGATTTTCAGTATTGAATACTAAGTTTGGCTACTTACACTGAGGCTAGGTACAGAATACAAAATACTCTTTGGTTACTGAATATTAAGGTTGTTTGGTTTTTTGTTTTTTTTTTGTATGGAATACTGAGTTTTGGTATTTCATGCTGAACTTAAACACCAAATACTGAACTTTGATGCAGAATATTAGTTTTGAATAATTAACATTAAATTGGTATGCAGACTTTGGGGACCAAATAGTGTCTTAGATACTGAATTCTGTTTTGGGGTACTGACAGCTGAATTTGTACTCTGAATACTGAGTTTGATTATTTAATGTTAAGTTGCAGTATTAATAGTTGAGTGCGGGACAAAATACTGAGTCTTGACAATGAATACTGAGTTAACAACTGAATCAAGGAATCTTAAGGCTTTTAAGACAAGCAACCTATTGTCTATAAGGAAAGGCAGTGGTAATTAATAATCAGAATTATTTAACATTTGTATAGTGCTTTAAGGTTTGCAAAGCACTTTTCAAATATTATCTCATTTTATCTTTATAACAACCCTGAGAAGTAGATGCTATCATTATTCTCATTTTATAAATGAGGAAACTGAGGCAGGCATGAACATACCAAATAAGCAAATACTTGTAAAGCTCTTAGCATAGTGTCTAGCACATAATAGGCACTACATAAAACTATTTTTAACTGTTATTATAGTTATATTTTAGTGTTGAGTGACTTGCCCAGGGTCATGTAAATGTCTGAGGCCATATTAGAACTCAGGTCTGCCAGAATAATTTAACTTGGCATGAAATACATTATTCTAAGCAGCAATATCTAGCATATAGTAAACATTTAATGGGCAGGCCACTTAACCCTGTTTGCCTCAGTTCCTCATCTATAAAATGAGCTAGAGAAGGAAATGGCAAACCACTCCAGTATCTCTGCCAAGAAAACCCCAAATGGGATCACAAAGGGTTGTACATGGCTGAAAATGACCAAAAAACAAATTTTTTATTGGGTAAAATAAGCACTACAGGTATTAATGGCAAAAGGGCCTACAAGGAGAGTTTGCCCAATTTATGTTATGATAATTATTTGTCTAATTCATATATTAGTCCATATAGATCTTTTATTTACTTGCATTAGCATTTTTGTTCCATGGTTTTTGGGGCTAGATTGCCTTTGGGGAAGGGCAAAGTTCTTTTAATGACCTCAAGCTCTTTCCAGAAACAAAGGCCTTGGTTTTTAAAACAATATTCTCTTAGTGTTGTTATATGACTGCAAAATCATAGAACCCTACAGTCTTTAAAGAAATGAAAGTAAGGATCACCCAGACAGCAGTGGAGAAGTGCATGCTGGGTATGGACAATCTTTATGAACACTTTACAAACAATAAATTATGCAGGAAAACTGATATAAAGCATGCCATCAAAGAACATGGACTGGTCACCATGTTAGAGAAAACTGATGGGCAACCCGTGTGTTATTCTGTTTATATCCTCATGATATTATGAAAAATGAGGAAGGCCCCTGGTTTGTGAGGTTGACTCCCCTCACTGTAGCCATGGCTCACATGAGCCCTGAAAGGACATAAATAAGAACTGTGCAAGATGGACAGGCATGGATGGATTACAATCTGGCTCATTGGAAGGTCAGCTATTCTTCCCATATCAATGAGATCACAGATCTCTTGGATTATATTGGATAATTTTAAAAGAAGGTTGTTAATATAAAAGAAAGCATTTTGTAATCTTCATTTGTGCAGAGTAAGCATTGACATTTTTCCTACCTAGTAGGAAATCCTTCCTACCTAAGTAGGTATCCTTCCTATCCTAGTAGGACATGTTGTCTCCCCTTACAGTTCTAAGGGATCTCCATCTCATTTTGCTACATTTTCGGCCGGTAGCTTTTTGAGTCCCTTCAAGATGCCACTGTTTCCTAGTCAACTGCTTTTCAACACCAATTCTATGTGCTTGTTCTTTATGCTATGTTTTATTAACATAGACTAGCATCATATCAGCTTTAAGGGTAATGAAAAGCTGATCCAGAAGAAGTGAAAGGAAACAAGCATTTAAGTGCCTGCTACGTGCTAGGCACTGTGTTAAGCACTTTACAAATAATATATCATCGGATCCTCACAACAACCCTGTAAGGTAGGTGCTATTATTATCCACATTTTACAGTTAAAGAAGAGGCAGATAGAAGGCAAGTGATTTGAAGAAGATTTTACAAGTACCATGTTACTGACATTTGTTACACAGAACCACATAGTTGGTGATAATGTCACAGCCCACTGTGTTGGTCAGACCAGCTCTGAATAGCAAATTAAAATCTTTATGCATCATTTAGGGGAGGACATTGACAAGCTGAAATATGTTCAGAGGGGCAAGTAACCATGTCAAGGAAGGAATCAAGGCCATGCCATATGGAGGTAGGTCAATGGAATCAGAATATTTAGCCTTGAAAAAGAAGATTTAGGGAACACACGTTAACTGTTCTCAGATATTTGATAGGTTGTCACATGGGACATTATTAGATTTATTCAGCTTGTTCCCAAAAGGCAGAGTTACAAATAATATGTAGAAGTTAGAAAAGGGTAAATTTGATTTCAACTTAAAGAAGAATTTTCCAATAATAAAA